TGTTATTCGTAGGTCTGTTCCATCAAGTTTAATTTTTCTAATAGTTTGATTACCTACGTCTTGTTTCACACAGTCAACTGCTTTTGTATAGTCTTTGAGGCATAAGTACAAATCAGTCTTTACTTCTATAGCTCTTTCTGACAATGTCTTTAGCATGCATATTGCATTGTTTGTACCTTTTCCTTCTACAAATCCAGATTGTTCATAGCTAATTTATGGTTTAATTTTGTTTATTTTTCTTCTCAAAATTATTCTCAGTAACATCTTTGAAATGGGACTCATAAGACTTAGTCTGTGCGATGGTCTTTATATCTTAAGTGTCTGGTTTCTTTGGCAAAGCTATAATATGGATTTTAAAAGATCATTTGGAATGTATCCACTATTACAAATACCATTGTAAAGTTTAGTTGTTATTTCAGTTCCAAAATCTCTCAGTGCTTCGATTTCTTCCAATGAGATGTTTTCTGGCCCGGGTGTTTTTCCTTTAACCATATGATACAATGCGTCATCAACTTCTTCAGTCATTACTGGTGGGCCATCACTGTTGGTCAGCAATTCTACATATGGTCTATTATCATCATACAATTCCCCTGTATATTATGTCCATTTGTTACTTATCACTACGTCTCATTAATAAGTAGTTATCTTTTGATTTAAACATCCAGTGCTGTTACCTGTCATCTTTCCTATTAACACATTTATATTTTAGTGCATGGAATGTGAGTCTTTTCCGTGATTTTAAACTCACATTCCATGTACCAACAGATAAACATGTTAACAGGAAAGATGACACGTAACAGTACTGGATTCACCTTTTTCTTTATCTTTTCAACTTTTTCACCGTTCTTCAACTTTTTCACCTTTACCATAATTTACTTCTTTTTCTTAATGGTTCCACTAACGTTGTATACATTTTCTCTTTTAGTTTTATATTTGAAAATGCTTGTTCCTAGGTCTTTATAAAAAGGGGGCAATTTTCTTTCTTTAAGTAGTACCGGTGTGACGGCCGGGACACAGAAAAAAAAAACCTGACTGTCAAAATACCCACTAATGCATTTTTTGTGGGAGGGAGGCAACATGTCTAAGCTCACAGTTTCCGGCGCCTCTTTACACTTTACTGGACTTGGTTTCTTCTTTTACATCATCATTATCATCATAACTTCTTTTTCTTCATTGACTGTAAACTCCAGAGACAAGTTCTAACCGTTCCTCTATTTCTAGAAGTTGGTCTTGTCCCAGAAACTGAATTTTGAGTACGCATCGATTTTACAGATCAGACTTGTTCTTGTGCATACAGTTGGTTCCGCGCCACTCATAATGTTATAAAATCTACTCGTACGTCCTTTTTAGGGCGTAATTTTTCGTTATTTGAAGCCCCACTCTGGCTTTTGCCAGGGGCCGCAATATAGGCAGGCCATAAATATGGCCAAATGTCTGAACGCGGTTTCTGGGACCTCTCCACGGCGACCCTCATCCGCATGGTGGCACTTTGTGTCATCGGGTGTTTATCGCTTGTGTGATGTCCTGGTGGGGTAGAAATTCATTCATTCATTCATTCCGCGCCACTCGTGCAGATTCACTCCGACTTTGAGAAAACACCCCGTAATTAATCGCTTTTTGATTATTAGAGGCAGAGTGTCTACTCCTCCACCCATACACCAGAGAAAAAAAAATCCACTCGTGGGAGGATATGGTTTCGAACTAAAACCCCGCTGGAACCAGCATCGCTACCACGTCTTGCTTCTAGACATAGATTTGTAGGCATAGAAGGATTATCCAGAGACCAGCGCATGCGCACAAGACACGAAGGTGGCCATCTTGTAGATAACGACTTCGAGGTTTGTGACTCGTTTTCATCTGTGCCTAAGTCCAACTGTCTGCACCCGTCGCTTTCCTCTCCGTCGTCGCCCACATCTGTCAGCACCATGACCACACACAGACATTTACCTGCCATGTTTCTTGATCTAGACTCGCAAATGTTTACTAGACGACCATATCCAGTGTACAGGTTCTTTTTCTACTATTCTTTCTTCTTCTAGTGGTCATAGTGACTGTAACCTGTTCTCCGTTGATTTTGTAAACAAAGCCATCTCGCCGTTGTTATGTAATTGTTATACTATCATCTTGTTCTGGTGTTGATATTTTGATTTCTTTATCTCTTGTATAAGTTATACTATAACTGTTGTGAAGTAATTTGTGCGATAATAAGTTGAATGTATCAATCGGTTACGTATTCCGGCCACCCTTTCTCTTGATTTCCTTTGTCTGTCACTAACTAGTCCTAGTCAGCTCAATTATTCCAGTTCATTATTTAATTTATTATTTGTGGTTTGCTACCACTGACTACTGCGCGTTTGACTAATAATTAACATACTAGTGTGTGCATATATATATATATACACACAGAAGAGTAGGTCGATGTTTCATCAGTTTTTTTTTTCATCAGTTCTCTTTTATGCCTAGTGGCACATGAGGCTTCAGAACTGCAGAAAGGACTTTCCATGCCTTCCTGTCTTGTGCAGTCTTCAGTGTGGTTTTCCATGTCAGAGATGCAGCACTCAGTTCACTTTCGGCTCTCCTTTAAATAACGGTCGCTAGCTGGAAGGCGACGGTCACTTAGTCGGAGTTCACTCCCTTGGCTGCAGTGAAAATACGGAGTGGTAAACAAATGACATACGTACCTGTCATGCTACGGTTGCTTAGGGTTTGGGGTAAGGTTTGGGTTAGGGTTAGAGTTAGGGTAACACATGTAGCGTCGAGTACTTACCCATAATAATGTATATGTGACAATTTTGACGCAGGAGTTCCAAATAATGGCCGAAAATGTGCTGCTTGTGGGAGTGGCGCCACTGGAATTCTCCTAAATATTACGGCAATAGCGCTACCAGCTATGTTGATTTCCAGATTTGCTTCAAAGTGGTTCTAGCTTTGTTCAAGCGTGATTGTATGTTTTTCTCTGTCCCTCCTAATAGGGACACTACACTGCCAAGATATGTTAACTGTTGTACTTTACTAAGTTGTACATTTTCAAGTGTTCAGTTATTAATGGTCACTGGTTGTTGGTTTGGACTGTTTGTCATGATCTTAGTTTTATTATTATTTTTTTAATTTTTGATTCTGCGACTACTGCACTGTTGACTAATAATTAACAATACTAGTGTATGGATACACAGTAGAGTAGGTTGATACTCCATATAAATAAAAACAAGCAAATATAGAGAGTCGTAATGAAAAGAGAGTTACTAAATAAAATAAAAAGGAAACCACATTCATTTTCCTTTGGCCGTATTAAAAGAAATACCTAGAACACTTTTTAAAAAAATACTGGAGGGAGTAGTCGACAGCAAGAGGTAGACTGATACAAGTGGGAGGACAACATCAAGAAATGGACTAACCGAATAGCAGTCTGACAGAGTACTTCCAAGACAAGCGCAGAGAGATAAGTGATCAATTACAGCCAGTCTAGGCACTTGAGTGCATTTTTCACAATCTTATTTACTTATAAAACCAGCAGTGCTGGTTACAGATTAACAAACTCTTTCCAACAGTACCTAACCTAATCCATGCTAGTATGTCAATCCTAAACTGATATATGAAGGAAATGGCACCTGATTGATACAATACTAGTGATCACAGGAGACATGTCTTTCCAGGACTACCTGATTCCTATGTTAGTAATTAAATTTTTAACAGTTTATGGCTGACCATTGACCACTACATCCAGCTCATCTGTATTACTGTTAGTATTACTATTACTAATAAGTGTTACTTACATAACTTTTAGTTTAAAATTTGTTGTTGTGATATTCTTTCTTTCTGGTGTTGCCCCTAACCACTGATCCACTACATGTGCTTGTAAAAAGTGTATTTCTCCTTCAGCAATGCGCTAGGATTATCACAGGCAGGTTACAAAGTAACTTGCATTCCAAGATGGTTGGATTGTTAAATATAGCTCACATCCTACCATCTTCCACCTTTGTCCTCATGTGTCAGGCAGAGGAACCCAAAGGGTTCCTGTCCACACTGGAGGTTGGCTGCAGTGCATCCATCCACTGCCATTTTGTGAATATTATATATTGGGGCACCAATCTCATCCACAGCAAGACACCAAAAAACTGAAAGCCACAAGAACAATCATTTTTCAAGCTGCCGGCGCAGAAACGAACACGTTCACATTGATATTATAGCATATGAGAAAAATGGTGCTCAGTGGTCACCCTGATCCCCTTTATCTCCAGGAATATGTTATTTTTAGTAGTTATTTTTATGAGTCTGGGCACCAGAGGAATTAATTCATTTCGCTGAGTAGTAGTTAGTCAATAGATTATCCTTACTGCACACCTTACAATTCAGTCCATAAGTGCTTGGAACTCCTCCTCAGTAAATTCTGCCATTTTTAGCGGCTGACGACACCAGTTATACGCTAGTTTCTTATTCTTCTTTGGCTTCCTGCATAGTGCTCCTGTCTGGCCACACAGTCTGGTCATCGTTTCAGATTCACAGCCATCACTTGGTTCTCGCAAATGTCTTACTTCTTGTAGGGCATTCAGTATATCGGCCTGGTCCATGTCTCGTCCGCTCTCCAAAGTAGCTTTGCCTGCAAGAATATCAGCTTGCTTATTTCATTGCACGTCCGCATGCCTTGGCACGAATATGAAACAGATTTCATTGAGTATACTAACACCATACCACTGGCTTCAAGAAACAGTTCACTGCTTGTTTATTATAATATCTTTTATTTTCTTTCCTTTTCTTATGCATTCACCATTCTTATGTTGTGGTTTACAGCAACACCTAGTTAATTTCCTTTTTTCGATATGCTTGATAGGGGGCAGTGGGTCTCTTCTTGTATCCTCCAAAACTGGGCCCCAGAACCCACATGGGAAACGTCTTTATTTGATGCACCGTAGTAGTTGCAGATAATTACCAAAACATACTTGTCAGCCTTTAGTGGTTTATTTGGTTTTATTTTACTAGTTTCAGATTTGTACATAACAGCAATGACAAAAGATGGAGAGTTTGGACAAGAAGAAAGAAATTTCCTGGCAACTTCCTCCGATGGTACGGTGTTACTGGGGATTCCCCTTGTCTCTGCGATGGATGTAGGATCTCCAGGGGCAGAAGGCATCATCAAGATGGAGGACGACGAGGACCTTGATGGCCTTGACAAGAATGATGTCGATGAAGATGTTGATGTGAATCAGATGCTGTCTGTGGTGAATGCTGGAGGCAGTGAGTGTCAGATGTGATATTTGTCCTGTTTCGGTTGATATTTGTGAAACTATGATAAGTGATTGTGTTTGTTATTGTTTGTAAAGGTAATATTGTCTATTTTGTCATATGCTGATGAAGGCTTGGGGGGGGGTGGCTGAGTGGGCTCGGGTATGACGACCACCTTAAGTGCTGGAGGTCCAGGGTTCAAACCCAGGTGAAGGCTGAGATTTTTTCACATGAACTTCTAGTAATATGCCCTGGTCTCGGGATAGTAAGATTGGGCGACCATGTGTATTGTTGCGCACGTAAAAAATTCCCTTGGGAGTTGGAAATCGAAAAGAGGGGCCTTACGGTGCTGCCCTGGCAAAATTTTGTGTTTAAAATCTACCCAAAGTATTTTAGAATCCTCGCTGGTGCTGCGGAGATCGTGCAGTGCGCTGAGATTCTTTACACTCAGGCTTGAATTAGAAGTATAACAGAGTACTTATAGGTTATACCCTTGTGCTATGGTGTTGATCTGTTGTTTAAACCTAAGCCTAATGAAGGCTTTTTGGCTGCAATGTTCATTTGTTATTCATGAGTGATATATATGTGAAGCTGACTAATTCTGCATTTTGTTTCGATTGATATCTTTTCATAGTACATTTTCTGCTGAATATTTATTATATGAGCTTGATTTTTTTCTCCAGATCTGATACGAACTAATCACGCAACACTGGAATCCCTGCTGTCCACGCCTGTCTCTGGATCCCAAGTCTTTGCCCAGTCAGAAGGCATACAGGTGATCACACTGCCGACAGCCACGGAGCTGATTGGCCTCACTGGTGATTTAACGGAGCGGCTGCTCCATGTGGTTCCCGCAGGGGACCTCAGCAGCTTGGCTACCAAGTGTATAGGGTTTATAGCTATAGCTAACCCTGGTTTACTTTCTCAAGGGAAAGCTGACATTACTGGTGAGTCTCTCATTGTTTTTATTATCTCATGATTGTCCTTATGCTCACAGTATGGTTTTTATCACACATTATTGTACTTGTGATCTTGTTATTTTTATGACCTTTTAATTGTTCTTATGATCTCATAGGTTTGTATTTTCTCATGATTGTTCTTATCCTTCCAGTATTATTATGATGATACCATAATTTTTCTTATGCTCCGAGTATTGTTGTTAATGATCCCATTGTTGTTCTTATGATCCAAATATTGTTCTTATAATCGCTTGCTTGTTGTTTGCTTTTATTAAAGGGTTCTCGGGTCTTGAAATGATACAGACTTCAGATGTGTCTGATCTCAGTTCTGCAACGGCTGACAACATGGCTGCGATATTAATGCCACCCCCACCACCACCCCCAGATTTACCTTCCAACTGCCCACCTTGGGCCATGCGGTTGAAGAAATGTGAGGTCAGTGTATGAAACAGGATATGTTCTGTCTATAAGATTTAATGTGTCTCATAACTTCTGTGTTACCTCTTAAAAGGAAGACTGACATGTTGTGTTGTGGTTTACAGCTAGGCTGCAGTATCTGCATATTTAAGCCCATCACATCTGATTACAGCAAACCTTTCCTTAGTTGCCTAATTTACCTTTGCTTAAGTGGCGGTGGATCTACCCTTTCCCCTTTTTTTCCTGTCGGCATTCTGTCATTAGTTGCAGAGACCTGTATGGAATTATGTCATTAGTTGCAGAGACCTGTATGGAATTATGTCATTAGTTACAGAGAACTGTATGGAATTATGTCATTAGTTACAGAGAACTGTATGGAATTATGTCATTAGTTACAGAGAACTGTATGGAATTATGTCATTAGTTACAGAGAACTGTATGGAATTATGTCATTAGTTACAGAGACCTGTATGGATTTGTGATTAGTTACAGAGAACTGTATGGAATTATGTCATTAGTTACAGAGAACTGTATGGAATTATGTCATTAGTTACAGAGAACTGTATGGAATTATGTCATTAGTTACAGAGAACTGTATGGAATTATGTCATTAGTTACAGAGAACTGTATGGAATTATGTCATTAGTTACAGAGAACTGTATGGAATTATGTCATGAGTTACAGAGACCTGTATGGAATTATGTCATTAGTTACAGAGAACTGTATGGAATTATGTCATTAGTTACAGAGAACTGTATGGAATTATGTCATTAGTTGCAGAGACCTGTATGGAATTATGTCATTAGTTACAGAGACCTGTATGGAATTATGTCATTAGTTACAGAGAACTGTATGGAATTATGTCATTAGTTACAGAGACCTGTATGGAATTATGTCACTAGTTACAGAGAACTGTATGGAATTATGTCACTAGTTACAGAGAACTGTATGGAATTATGTCATTAGTTACAGAGAACTGTATGGAATTGTGTCATTAGTTACAGAGAACTGTGTGGAATTAAGTCATTAGTTACAGAGAACTGTATGGAATTATGTCATTAGTTACAGAGAACTGTATGGAATTATGTCATTAGTTACAGAGAACTGTATGGAATTATGTCATTAGTTACAGAGAACTGTATGGAATTGTGTCATGAGTTACAGAGACCTGTATGGAATTATGTCATTAGTTACAGAGACCTGTATGGAATTATGTCATTAGTTACAGAGAACTGTATGGAATTATGTCATTAGTTACAGAGACCTGTATGGAATTATGTCGTTAGTTACAGAGACCTGTATGGAATTATGTCATTAGTTACAGAGAACTGTATGGAATTATGTCATTAGTTACAGAGAACTGTATGGAATTATGTCATTAGTTACAGAGACCTGTATGGAATTATGTCATTAGTTACAGAGAACTGTATGGAATTATGTCATTAGTTACAGAGAACTGTATGGAATTATGTCATTAGTTACAGAGAACTGTCTGGAATTATGTCATTAGTTACGGAGAACTGTATGGAATTATGTCGTTAGTTACAGAGAACTGTATGGAATTATGTCATTAGTTACAGAGAACTGTATGGAATTATGTCATTAGTTACAGAGACCTGTATGGAATTATGTCATTAGTTACGGAGAACTGTATGGAATTATGTCATTAGTTACAGAGAACTGTGTGGCGCGGTGATTTATGTCACAGGCGTGAGGGGAAGTTAAGTCCAATATGATGTGTATAAGGAGATACTCCGTACGTCACTCGGGCGCCAGTCCTTTACTATCCTGGTTGTACGGAACCTCACGCAAGACCCCTACAGCACGTCCTCGTCGTGCGCCACGGATAATGTCTCAAATGAGCATTAACAGAGCTGTCAGGGGATCTCGGAGTTTGGCGGCCCCCAGAGGTGATGTGTCCTTGTGGCTCTCATCAGCCCGCCCCCAAACGCTTGGGTGAAAAAATGTTATCAAAACTCATTAGGAACATGAGTAGGTTCGACAAAAGTACAGCTAAAATCACAACCCTTGGTTAAAAGACTGCTGAGTAAAGAGAACATTGCTCAATGCTCATCCTCGGTTAATTCTCAGTGTCGTCGTCACCGCGCTGAGGTGCAACACAACAGAAACCATACATGGGCTGGCCATCCTTGTGCATCCTCGGTTGGCCCTCAGTGTCGTCGTCACCGCGCTGAGGTGCACCACAACAGCAACCATCCATAGGCTGGCCAGTCACGTACATCCTCGGTTAACCCTCAGTGTCGTCGTCACCGCGCTGTGGTACACCACAACAGCAACCATCCATCGGATGGCTAAGCCTAAATGTCCGACAAAACTAGATCATACGGATCAAAATCTGACCATCAAAATTTGCACCGCAATGCAAAAGGCCGAATGTCCACACCCAAAGACCCCACTCGCCCGAGTGTTGTGACAAAACTGATAACGATATGCCTGATTCAGGATGTGAAATTCTGCCGGGCTAATGTACCTATCTGTGTGGTCACAAAAGTCCAAAACCAACGGGCTGCTCCCCGCTGACTTCCAGAGGGCGCAGCCCCTGTCGAGCGGGAGGCCTGATACGGTTGTGAGGTCAAGCAGGCATGTGCAGGACGTGACGATTCCTTGGGTGAGCCCAGAACCAGAGCGCCATGTGCCGGCTCTGCATGCATGGAAGCCTCCTTGGATGGCGGGGAATGCCCATGATCTGCCCCTGCCTTCCCTTGAGGGCCAACTGTTCCACAGGGGGTTGCCCCAAAGGGGTACTCCGGGGGCAATACCTGCGGCGAACGAGACAAGGCGGACACCACACAAATCAGGCAGTCTCGACCCACACAAAACAATGGCCACAGTCACCCTAGAAATAGGCCCGACGTCTTCCTTCGAAGTCGGCGTACAGCTGCCCAAGAGGCAGGGAAATAAAAAACGGTTGTACACGCAAAAATCAGGTCCAGGTGAAGGCCAAAAGTCCAAGCGAACGATTAACTGTGACCTTCCACTGGAATTCACAGCCGGTGTTCGATGAAAAAAAAAAAACAAACAGAGAACTGTATGGAATTATGTCATTAGTTACAGAGAACTGTATGGAATTATGTCATTAGTTACGGAGAACTGTATGGAATTATGTCATTAGTTACGGAGACCTGTATGGAATTATGTCATTAGTTACAGAGAACTGTCTGGAATTATGTCATTAGTTACGGAGAACTGTATGGAATTATGTCATTAGTTACAGAGAACTGTATGGAATTATGTTGTTATAGAGAACTGTATGGAAATCTGTGACTGGTTATAGAGATCTGTATGGAATTTTGTGTCTTGTTACAGAGAACTGTATGGAATTCTATTATTGTTCACAGAGAACTGTGCAAGACTCTGACTGGTTAAATAAGTTTGTATTTTCATGCAGATGTGATAGTTGTTTTGAACAGATATCTGTCCTAAAGAATGAATATTCGGTGAGCAAATTTATAATTTAGAGGACTTATTTATATAGTTTCATAAACAATAAAACAGGTGGATAGTTTACGAACAGATGACACTAAAAATGTACTAATAATGTTTCAGAAAATAGGTGATTCCTACAGAGGTTATGTAGAAACTGAGATCGACCTTGATCTAATCCTGACCCTTCACAAACAACAAACAAACAGCTTCTGGGGAACTCGCCAGTCACCGAGTCCTGCCAAAGCATCAACACGGCTCATGTGGAAGTCTCAGTATGTCCCCTTTGATGGTATTCCCTTTGTTAATGCAGGTGAGGAAATAACTTTTTTTTGTCTGCTTCTTCTGTGCCAGCCTTCTTCTTTTTCTGCTGCTGCTATGTTTGCCCTTAAAAGGGCGGTTGGCACATTGTATTGTGGTGTACAGCTATTCTGTGATATCTTCTCTTTTTAGCCGAACACACCAGTTTTAGCAGATCCTTAATTAGTCGCCGTTTATAACACACTTGTTGAGTAGTCTGCCCCCCCCCCCCTTTTTTTTTTCTCCTCCAGCTCCCAAATAAAACTAGGTCTTCCAAATCCCACAAGGAGAATATGCAATCAGTACTTGTCTTTTCATTATAAGATACCAGTATTGGCATCAGTGTCTTTGCAACAGCCTACCAGTTCTCTTCGAAGGATATTAAGAAAGATGTTAACAGTTCTGTAATAATAATTTTGCCCTTTTTAACAGATGCCTTACAATTCTTTACATGTAATACATTTTTTAAATTCATGAACCAGGCAGTCGAGCTGTTGTTATGGAATGCCAGTTTGGTCCCCGGAGAAAGGGAACTTTAGGAAAACGTGGGGCAACTTCAAATGTAAGCAACGAGTTCAAACAGACCTGTCCTGCCAGGTATGGTTGTGTCTTGTCTACTTGTTGAAACTATCATTGTCATTCTGTTGCTGAATTTAGCAGAGATGTGGTCTCATTGCTTAGCAGTATAAGCCCAAGCATTGTGTGTGTGTGTGTGTCAGCTTTATTATGAAGTTTTAAAGGTTATCGGGTTCGAATCGCAGGAGAAAGCTTGGAATTTTTCTAGAACTGGTTGATGTCCCTGATTTTGGTGGTAATGAGTGTCTGCTTAATGTCACTCTGCTAGCAAATTTGAAAGGGTAACCCATCAACGGGTACATAGGGCCCATTGGCTTGGGTAACATGTCTAAAACAGGCAAACATTACACATACACTTTCAGGTCAAACATGCTAACCTCTGAGCTAGTGCCCCCACACCTGGGTGTGGATTTAGTGGGGGGTAGATCCCCTGCCCCCTAATAAGCATGTTGAAAATGTGGTTAATTAAGAGGTTTGCAGAAATCATATGTTTGGGGTCAGCAGGTGCAGATGTAGCAGCCTTGCTGTAGACCATAACACAGTGTGGAAACTGCCCTTTTAAAGGCAAACAATGAGGAAAGAAAGAAGAAGAGATGAAAGGTTGTATAAGGTGAAGGTTATGTTCAATGTGGAAATTACTGTTTTATATCGCTTCTATCTGAAGGATATACATCTGGAAAAGACTGTTATATATTGCCTCTATCTGAAGGGTATACATCAAGAAATGGCTGTTATTATTGCCTCTATCTAAAGGGTATACATTAAGAAATGACTGTTATATATCGCCTCTATCTAAAGAATATACATCTGAAAAAGACTGTTATATATTGCCTCTATCTGAAGGATATACATCTGGAAAAGACTGTTATATATTGCCTTTATCTGAAGGATATACATCTGGAAATGACTGTTATATATTGCCTTTATCTGAAGGATATAGATCAAGAAATGACTGTTATATATTGCCTCTATCTGAAGGATATACATCTGGAAATGACTGTTATATATTGCCTCTACCTGAAGGAAATACATCTGGAAATGACTGTTATATATTGCCTCTACCTGAAGGATATACATCAAGAAATGACTGTTATATATTGCCTCTACATCTGTAAATGACTGTTATGTATTACCTCTATCTGAAGAATATACATCAAGAAAGTGCGCAAGTTTCCCTCATATGCGGTCAACTTAAACATGGACAAGAAGAGCGTTCGTCTGGCCATGGATAAAGCTTTTCATGAGCTACGAGAACATGGTTTAGATTCCTGGGGGGAAGAAAGGTGGGTCATTTAGCCACATTCAATTTTACATTCAATTTTACAGTTAGCATCAATGCTGAGCATATTTAATTATTAGAACAACTGACTTTGAGTTTATTCTGAATCTTTAACTCAGTTTGTGTACATATGTGTGTTTTAAATCAACGGGAAGCTTTCTGACACGAAATTATAGTTTTCTATGTACAGCTAGCTGGCCAAAGCCATAGTTTCAATAATTGTTTTGTCTACCAATAGCTGAAGTTTTTGTGTGTGGGCGGGTAGCCGTACAAATAATTTATTATGCATACAGTTCTTGTGTGTGCTGATAGCTGTATTACGCTTTGTGCATGCGGATAGCTGTATTACGCTTTGTGCATGCAGATAGCTATACATACAGTTTGTGTACATATTATTTTCTTCTGGGCAGTGAACTGGAGTCTGTTGGCAATTAGATATGTACAATTCAGCCACTGTGTGTGTGTGTTTCCTCCCTCCCTTCCCTTGCCATTCAATGACATTGTTTCTATGTACCAGTTTGTAATTGTAATTATGTAATTATAATGTCTCACTGAGACATGTTCATCATGTAACACATAGGGCAGTTACTATGTCCAGTTGTCTACGAAAAAAGCATTAATTTATTTATCTGTGCCAGTTTGTAATCTCTCTCACTTTTGTTTTTCTGCAATGCCCTGGGCAGATTTTATGTCTTGTTGTCCACAGAGAAAACATTATTTATGTTTAAAATTGTGGAATCTATCTCGCTAAGACTTTTTTCTTTAACACCCTGGGTAGGTTTTATGTCCAGCTGCCCACAGAGAAAGCCCATGACTACCATGAGGAATGCAGCAACTCGAGGATGGACACTTCATCCTCGGGGCTGGAAGAATCATCACTAGGTGGACATGAGTACCAGCGTCTGCAGCCAGATGATAAGAGCTGCGAGAGCCGTATCCACCCCGTTGTGCTGGAAAAAATCCGCCGGTTGGTGGCATCAGGCGAGACCAAGCTGTATAATATTCGCAGACAATTGAGGTTAGTCATGTGAAGTTTGCATGTTTTGTAACATCCAAACATTTGAATCTTGTCAGGTTAAATGATTGGGCGAGGTTTTGTAACATTTACATACATTTGAGTTTTGTCAGGTTAAATGAATGGGTGAGACTTGTAACACCTACAGACATTTGAGTTTTATGAGGTTAACTGAGTGGGCGAGGTTTTGTGACATCTGCAGACATTTGAGATTAGTCAGGTTAAGTGAGTGGGCAAGGTTTTATAAACATCTGCCCACATTTGAGGTGGGTCATTGATGAGAAGTGAAGTCTTCAGTTTTTTTTTTTTTTTCTTGTACATCCACATGAAGAAGAATTGGCAGTTTTTGTAGATCTAATAAAATTTTTGGTTTGTAACAAAGTGAAAGTATTGTTATTTGGTTAAATCTGCTTCTCCATTTTGGCTCCAGGGTCCTATTTTGCAGGCACAAAGAATAGACACACTACCCCCCTCTCCCAGAAGCATGCTGTAAAAGGCAGTTAATGGTGGGTGTTTCCTTCACAGTTAAGAGTGCATCTGCCTCATGGGCAAGGAACCAACATTACAAATGAGCCAGATCTGTAAAATGGCTATGTATGCCAAACTCAGTTCTGGAACAAGTCACAAAGCCCAGAAGTGGACGAACAACCAGAATTTTCTGCCGAATTTTAAAGCCGGTGAATGCTAAGATGAATGAGAAGTTATATCTGCACATTGTAAAGATCGGTAATATAAAATCATTACTGTAACTTTAGGTGACTTTATCATCATTGAAAGTTAGTGCTGTGTCCCCACTTAGAAGAGGAAATACTAGACAAGATTGTATGGAACCTCTACATCCCAGGGTAGAAAGGAAAAACTACCAGATTGTGAGGTACCTCGACACCCCAAGGTAAAAGTCTCGTCTACTGCAATACCTCTGCACCCCATGTTAGAAGAGAAAGTCTAAAAAAAGACTAAGGTGCCTACATTCCAGGGTAGAAGAGAATTGACTAAACAAGACTCTAAGGTGCCTCTACAGCCCAAAGTACAGTAGATCAACGACTAAGCAAAACTGTAAAATACCTCTACAACCCGAAGCAGAAGAGGACAGACTGAACAAGACTAAGATACCTCTCAAACCCCAGTGTAGAAGAGGAAAGACTGAACAAGACTATAAGGTACCTCTATACTCCAGGGTATAAAAGGAAAGTTTTTGAATGTATGTATACCTGCTTGTACTTAAGCTAACTACCAGACTGTCCTACTGTCCCCAGGAGATTTGTAGTTCGAGACCTATTTCAGGTGACAGGACACCTGCCAGAGAGACATGACTTGACCATGTTTCCAACAGTCAACGATTTGAAGAACCATATCCACCAGGCTCTCAAGGATATTGAGAGTGGTCTTTTGCCATATACTCCTCAGATGGTAGGTTCATGAACTGTTGTGGCTTTGATGTGTTATGAATTTATGAAATAAGTTAGTATAAGGATAGTTTCTTATGTATGAGGTGGTTTTAATGATTAAAAACTGCTGTGGAAAAGATTGAAAATGAAGCTGGGCTGTGACGTCCATTTTCTTTTCCTTATGATAAACTCGTGGCAGACGAATATGATGTTGAATTTGATAAACATTGTTCCTTGTTAACTTATCCCATCAATTCAGCTGTCTCAGGGGCTCTTTTCCGAGCTTGAAACAGAATTAGTGTTCACATTTGGCTCCATGCTGCAAATTTCACTAGCTAAAAAAAAAAGAAGTATGTTTCCTTTTCTCTGCTGACCGGGCGGCGTTACAGTTTTGTCAGATCGTTGACGAATGGTGCCTGCTTAGATGACATGCTTTGCTTTATGGATGGCATTTTTGTTTTGGGCCAAAATAAATACACTCATTATTGAATTGTCAAACTGTGTGTCTTTCAGTATGGCTGTAATTTTACATTTGCATTTTTTTTTCAGCATTTATCTTTCATTACCTGTCTCTTCAGTTTTTGTTTCCGTGAAATAGGACCTATTCTTTTGTATAACCACATCTAAAGAGACTCACTTTGATTTTCTAGCGCCGTGTTCATTGGCCAGGTTTTTGCACCATAGATTAGTTAAAAGTACACATAACATTTGACAGATAACTGTTTCAGCTGTTCATCTTTCTAACTCAATAATTTTTGCATTTTGGACATATTTTTTATTTATTCTCATTCTCTTTACATTTGTATTTATTACAGTTAGTGTCTTTTTATCTAGGTAAACTTAGAGGTGATCCAGAGTTGTGATGGCTCTAACTCAGAAGAAAAGGATTCCTTGCAAGACGAAAAGCCAGATATAACTTCAATGTGGTCCAGTGGTAACATCTCATCTGGTGGTCCCATGCCGGAGACAGTAACTGTTACTCTGACACAGAATCCTGATGAAGGTGAGTTTTTGTTCCTGATAATTAGAGTTTATGCTGTTAGGACAGTTTACTGGTGCTGGAAGGGACACATGTTAAGAAAGCCTGAGAACGATATAGCTAGAATGTCTTTTACACTGAAATCCATAGGAGCACAGACATAAAGTTAAAGTTATTTGCATATCTTTTATACCTTTAGATCAGTGGTCTCCAGCCTGGGGAAGAGATGGGGGGGGGGGGGGTGCTCCTCTTTCTTGGAAAAGGATGGGGGGCATCGGGCAATTTTGAAATTGATTGCATTTGTACTTGTAATCATCAGGAATTTCTTTCAGCTTTAACAGTCATGAAAACTAAATAGAGCTGCTGGATTGATGCTTTGCCAGCATCAGACCAGTTATAGCAGACATTATCAAGTCAAAACAGTGTTAACCATCATATTGATATTTGGACACTAAGTTACTAGTTGTTGGTTTGTTATTGTTGTAAACTTTGAATTATTTCTGTATTTTTCTCCAAGTTCTTATTAGCAGTCCTTTGGATAATTCTTTTTGAAATCCTCTTTGTAATCACATTTTGTTACATTGGGAGCTGGGAGTTCTTGTCATATACTCAAGGAAGGGGGAGGGGGGGGGGGGGGAGAGGCACCACCTTAGAAGGGTTGGAGATCAATGCTATAGAGGATGTTGGTTATTTGTGATTTTACTTGACTATTTTACATTCATTTGTTTGCCGCATATAAAGGCAGACCTAAAAGAAAACACTTGGATGCTCAGATAAAGAAATTAGAGAGTGAGGTTAAAAAGATGCAGATACTGGTGGGCGAGCTGCATGTGATAGCAGAGTATATGATTTTTTTTTAAATTGGTAGATGGCATATTCTCTGTGTGACAACCTGGTTAGGTGGATCAATAGTGAAGTAATCTACTATTATGCCAGATTGTAAGAATGAACCTGCCATGAGGTGTCATATTTGTTATTTATTGACCAAATGTGGATTGTAGTTTGGGGGGTCTCCATACAAGTGGTCAAGCCGTTTGCCTTTGTGCTCTAAAGGATGTGGGGTCATTTCATGGCTGCGCAGTTTCAGTTCTCAAGTGCAGCTGTTTTACGGTGATCCTTGGGGATCGTCGCATAGCTACGGAGGTTGTGCTTTGTGCTACTCTAGGCAGGTGGCTTGCTATTTTGTAGAGATCAGGTGGCTCATCATTCTGTGGAGATAGACCGACCCATATGAGATAAAACTATAATTATATTGAAGTAAAATAACAGTTAGTGGGGCTGTGAGGTGGGTCATTGATGAGAAGTGAAGTGAAGAGGATGGAATAAACATGATTTTAAAGTTCCTCTACACTTGTGTTGACAAAAGAAAACACAAGGCAATGCAAGACCGGAGATACCTCTACATCCCCAAGTGGAAGAGGAAAGGTTACACTAGACGATAAGATACCTCTACATTAGAGGATAGAAGAGGAGGGTAAAAAAAAAAAACTTCAAGATAACTCCACATCACAGGATAGAAGAAGAAAGACTAAACAAGACTACTCTGTAAAAGAGAGATCACAAAAGGGACTTATGAAATGCTTCTGCAGAAGAATGAATTTTACTGTGAACTGTTGAAGAGAATTTACCATACTTATTCTTGTCATTTTTTAGATGGACACCACATAATCTCTCGTATCGAGACCCACTTAAGTGATGGGACCACGCAGATCAGCGCGACCTTAACACCAGAGACGGCCCAGCTGTTGTCAAGGTTGCACCCTGGGCTGTTTCCTGCTGGCAGTATTTTACGGGTTTGTTTGCCATCCTCTCTTCCATGTCCTGATCTTTCTGTTTGCTGTTTGCCTTAGCTGTCCTATTATTGTTGCTGTGGCTAACTTTCATTTTGGAAGTTACTCCTCATGCCACATTTGTTAGTTGTTTGTATACCCGTACCGTTGAAAGTAATGTTGTTCTTTTATAGTGTTAACTATGAAGTTGTTAACTTTCATATGTGTATCTGTCATATATGTTGTGATACCTTGTTAACTCCTATGATTCTGTTGTATGAAACATTGTTAACTGTAATGTTTCTCTTATGTAATAAGAAACTTGCACACCTTGTGTACAATATTCTGTTACTGACACATAGTTAACGCTTACATATATTTATTATGTGTTATGAAACATTTCCTTGCTATAGGATAAAACATTGGTAACTCTCAGAAGTCTGCATTGAAAAGTGGGAATAACTCTGTTACATGTCTGTGGTTTCAGTTAGATGAAACCACTGATGAATCTCCTGAATCAAAGTCAATCAACAACCACCTGGGTGTCCTGGAAATGTCTGAAGCTTCACCATCAGAGGACCACCCTCTCTCTTCCAGTCAGGACTCCTCAACGGAAGCAGCTGTGCATGTAATAGGAGAGATGGACTCAGCTCACCTAACCAGCATGGTGGCCACAGACTCTTCTCACAGCATCTCTGGGATGATCGACTCTGACATGGCAACAAGCATACTAGTCAGCTCCGAACCCTCTCACTCCATGTCCACCATAAACCTCCACCACAACCCCAGCCAACACATATCAGGACTGATAGACTCTGATTCTACTAATTTGGCCACTATTATCCAAAGACAAGCCCAGCATCACATTGCAGGGTTAATTATCCCGGGAACAGGCTTGTCGGTCATCGGTGCCGTCGACCCGGGAGCTCTCTCGGATATGGTTACTGTTACCCATTCAGATGCGATAACTCTGTCTGCCGATGATGGTGTCCACTCCATGGATCTGGTGTCTGGGGATGGTGTCGGTGCCAGCCTGAGCCTTGTCGGGGACGTATGTGAGCAGTTGATTCCCAAGTCAGACTTGGATGACCAAGACGACAGCCATGAGAAGTTGAGTGAGGACAAATTAATACTCCATATAACACCAGGTATGTTTGTCCATATGTGTTTGTGTAGTACAGGTTGAAACTTATTTCATTGGGGAAATCTAAGATTATGGGACTTATCTGACATAGGAGTGAAGCATGTCTATGCCGCCTTCAAGGCCCAGATAAGAGACATTATAACCAACCTCTCATGGGAACAGTTAGTAGAAGTACCTTACTTATGTTGGCTGCTGCATTGTAGAGCAGGCATGGGAATGTGCAGTAACGTCGATTGTGATAACATAACATGGACAGAATTTGTCTCAAACCAATGAAATATCATCCTAAGTTAAAGAAATTTATATTAATCAAGCTTAGATCAAATAATAGATACAAACAAAACAGATCCGACCGAATTGCTATGTCTAGAATACAACAAACATTTTCAGAAAAAATTTGATTAGTCATTTTGATTGTCTTTTGTGAACATCTGGGAAACACTTAAAGCAACAGTAAATGGACATGTATTGATTAGAATGCATAGAGAAAGATAGGACACGCTGGACAGCATATATGTATGCATACACACATTCACATTGTTTCTGAGGTCTCATGGGCTCCCTGTCTTTTTTTCTGTGTATTGTCACATATTAGGTATTCATAGTTTAAAATGATTTTACTTTGACTGTCTCTTTATCTTTGCTCCCCAGAGAAATATCTTGTATACATGTGGTGTGGCTGGTTTGACCCAAATACACCTTTACCCCTTCTATTTTTTCTGCATGTAATAATTCTACTCCCCCGTCTCCCCCCACAGCAATCAATTTATGTTCTTCCTTGTTTTTTCTGTTATCTTTCTGAGTTTGTCTTTTCTTCTACAGCTGTTCCTTTTCCTTTTCTGTCAAGAATTATTATTATTATTATTCTTTTGCCCCCTCTTCTTTTCTGCTCCGTCTCCTTCCCTCCTCTTCTTGTTCTCCTTCTTTTCCTCTAAATGCTATTCTTTCTCTGTTTCCTCATTCTTTAGTGTTGAAGTGTAGAAAGTTCAGTTCTCTGGGTGAATACTGTTTTAAACAAAGAACTTGTAGAGGCTCAGACATGGCTTGATGTGAGCAGACAAACAAGAAAATCAGTGTCCATGAAACAGACCTAGTCAAGTCTATCAGACCAAGTAACAGCTGTCATCATGATAGCAAAGAACAAGTGTTGATCATTTTCTGTATCTCAATTGATGCATGCGATGTGTAGCAGCTTGAAAACCGGGTGGCAAGGCATAGCTGTCTCCCTCGTCAGCTGACAGTCAAGTCTCCATACTGATGGTTCCTACTGTCTTCAGGTTAACTACTCATTTTTAACCCTTCCACCCCCCCCCCCCCACCCCACCCCTTTTTTTCCACAGTCTCATGTAATGACTAGAGCACTCATAAAAACATACACATAACAATCATCAAGTGCTTTTCCACTTGTTATGGGCAACCATGCTTTGCCACATCATGCCATCTTCAACAGTGTGCTTCAGTTTGTGTGCTGTTTCAATTTCAGATGAACAAATTGGCATGACAAGACTGGAGAACAAAGTCTCTGACTTATAGCTGTGAGTTTGTGTGACTTGGTTCACATGTTGTAGCCGCAGGGAACCCCCTGAAAGACAGCGTTAGCTATCCATTACCTGCCAGGTATGGTCTGTTTGCCACTGCTGGAAACCTAGTCATTTTTCAAGAGTCTCTGTGGGTGTGAGAATATGTTGAAAGTATCTTCAGACAAAACACAGTGATATGTTTTTATTTTATTCCTTGATAAGAATGTGTTGTGTTTAGTTTGAATAAAACTTAATTCTGCCCTAGGATGTGTTGAGTAGTATGTTGGTATAATATTGCATTCTGTCTTAGGTTGAGTTGAGAAAAATATTAGTGTAATATTGAATTTTGTCCGAGGATGTGTCGAGTAAAATGGTGTAATGTTGAATTTTTTTCCTAGCTTACTGTTGAATTTGTCCTTGAATGAGGTTTTTTGTGTTTAGCTGCTATAGTATTAATTTCTGTCCTAGAATATTATTTATAAAAGTTTCTTTATAGTATTTAATTCTTTCTTAGGAATACTGTTTATAGATGTTTCGCAATAGTATTCAGTTCTTTCTTAGGTTATTGTTTATAAACATTTCTGTATAGTATTTAATGCTTTTGTAAGATAGTGTTTATAGTATTTTTATTCTTACCTAGGATACTGTTTAAATGTTTCTTTATAGTTTTCATTTATTCTAGGATACTGTTTATAGAAGTTTCTTAAAATCTCTCCATGAACATTTGCATGTTATAGTCTGTTTCTTCCTTCATACATTTCTCACCCGATGTATTATCATCTCCAGTCTTATCTGTACCAGAGAGCCCAGTTCATTGCTTTTTAAATCCCTGCTTCTGTAGAGGTCCCAAACACCTGACTCCTGGGGCACCTAGCAAGTACGCTGACTACTGGACTGTGATATCTCCTAGTAGAATTTTGTTGTTTGTGCATCAAAAGTGAAGATGATTCCTGTTATCCACTGAGTAGATAATATGTAAGTTACGTATATAGGCCAATTTTGCAAGGAATGTGGGCTGCACCAGTTGGAGGGGTTCTGCATGTGGTCTTTTCTAGTTTGTCTTTGTTGAACTGCTGCTGCTGATCTGGTCAGCTCACATGCTGTTGCTTCTAGATGAAGAGATGAGCATCAGGATAAGCATCAGCATGTATGGTTCATAATGCAGAAAACAGCTTTTACATATTGTCATTGCTTTTTTATATAAAACAATTGAGCTGAATCAAATCAGGATGCTCTCACAAGATATAAGGCCTCTACTGGATTGCCCATGATTATATCAGCAGCCATATCTGTCTAGTGAGGATTCATTGTTTTCCCTTGTCTTTCTTCTATGTTATATGCAATAGATGGAAGGCCCTTGTAGCTACTAGTGTAAGAAATCTCTGTAAATATGTGAAAATGTGTATAATTTATGCCACAACATTTGCAATGTTCATGATAATGTGAAGTTGACTGGTTTTACTTTTCCTTTGGTTTGATATCATTTCTTGATATAATTTACTAGATTTAGTGGCTCTGGCTTAGCCTGGGATAGTCAAAGAAAGTTTTATTCTCATCTTGGTCTTCCCTGCTGCCGTAAATGTAGTAAAAACTCCACGGAGGAGCGAGCATAACATGAACCTTTCCATCTTTAGGTTTTCTTGGATGCCCTTGTTTCCTAAACCCGCCAGTGTCCCATTACAGTGCATGCATAGTGATTCTCTGGTTTATGTAGCAAATACATTTTTACAGGGTATAGGAGCTGGCCCCTTGGTCCTGGGCCGAGGTGAATCGGTAGGAGCATCCTAGGCCAGTTCCTCCCATAATAAGAGCCACTGCCACCTTAGCATCTAATTGGTGTGATGGGACAGTGAGTCAGGGTTAAAATTCGGCATGTTCGCAGTCCCACAAATCTGAACGATAAAGCAGTAACCTCCATTAACGACACTGTCTTACAGTCTATGTTTCAGGGTAGATAACAATGTATGGGATGTAAGCAGAAAAATATTCAAAAGTTTACTTTTACTGATTGTTACAACGAATAAAAGAAATGCACAGTAATCTGTCCGCCAATGTGACTGTTGAATTAAACGCTGTAGCCATAATGACAGCCGAAAATTTTAACCTGCATATTGATCATGGTCTGGGAGGAGTTAAAAGTTCAATAACAATGAAAACATGAAATACAGAAAGGATTTGTGATTTATAGAATAGATCTGAACATTTGCTTGCTAGAATCTCTCATAGCATATCCTGTTTACATTGCCTGTTGGTGTTACTGATCTAACTTTTAATGTATTGTTTGATTGCTTTGATTCAAAATCCATCGTTACTGCATTTACACTTATCTATAAGTGATTGTCTTCTCTTTTTTCATCTCACTCTCAGAAAATCTCATCTCAGTTTTTAAACCATGTAATGTTGACAATGACTCTAATGTGATGTATATATATATTAGATTCATAGAGTCTATAAATATTTCGTTATCACAGTCCCATAACACTGCGTTCCATTGGGTCACCAGTCGCTGATTATTGATCAGAACCTTCATTTCTATTGGTCAGATGTAATGTAATGGACAGATTTTTGAAATCAAAGTATTGTTTTCTCACCGTGAATTTGAATAATTTAGAGTTGGTTGTCTGTGCCTAGGTCCTTTCACTGACATCTCTGTGGCACATATCTTTCCATGTCTCTTAGTGGCGAGATGTTCTTGTAACAGCTATAATCACCCCAAAAGAAAAATGCATTATGTTACTTTATTTTTAAAATTTATGACTGTTTACTATTTATTTCAAAATACATCATTCGGTTCATGTCTCACCAAGCACAGAACGCTTGTTAAGAGTATTGATGTAGTGCAAAGAATGCTCGCTTCATGCTTTAGTCACTCATGAAGACACTAACAAGTGAAAGCTGCCAGTTACCAGTACTTTGATGCTAGCTGCCCATGCCTTCTCTCAGCAGCAAAGAGACAAGGGAAAGTTGTCACTTGATACCTTCTCCAGCATAATCCTTACCTACCAGCACTTACACATTGTGAATTTATTATGCTTTGCACTGTTGTCTCTGTCTCCGGCGTATGTCTCCCCGTTCCTTTTTTGTGCATTGGTTTTAAAAAAAAATTCAATGTTTGAATTAATAACAGTTATAAAATTGTATTGGCTGTCGTCTCAAGATGTGGGTATAAAAAGACTAGGTCATATTTCCTTGAAACAAAAACAATCGGATGCAGAGATTTTGAAGAGACCAGGGATAGAAAAAGGCTTAAGGGCAAAATAGGGACATTAAATATTTGGGCCATATTAAAAGACATAACATTCTTATAAAAACCACACTAGATGGAAAAGTTGAGGACATAGAAGCAGGAGGCAGACAGCAATACAAGTGGAAGGATAACAACAATAGATGGACAAACAGCAGTCTGAGAGAGTACACATCCAGGTCTAGAGATAGTGTGTTGTAGATCCTTAGCAGCCAACCTTCATTGTGGAAGTGGCATCTGATTGATTGATTGATGGCTTAGTTACAGAACTGCCAGATGTGTAACTTATTGTATTTGTTTGTTTGTTTGTTTTGTTATCACATGTTTATGGGCCTCAGACTTGGTGTAAATACTTCATATTATTTATCAAAATTTAGCAACAGATATTGTCAGTAATAAATGGTCACAGTGACACCGCAGTCTTTGTTTTGTACTGATTGAGAAAGCTGGTTTGCTTACATTTTGTTTTTATGAGCTGGTTTGTTGTAGGAGTTTGGGTGCTTTGTCCTAGGTTGATTAATGATGGAAATAAGACTGATTGTTCTCACGTTAGTTAATGATGACTAAAGATATGGAACAAGTTCCATGATATTGAAGCTATTGCACAGTATAGAATAGAGTGAAGTAATAGATTGAGTCAAGTGTGATTTATAATGGCACAACTGGACAGTGAATGAGTAAAAAGTTGAGATTGAGAGTACAGACCTTACAAAAATGTTGTGGGGTGATAGAAAAACAAGCCAGTCATTTTTGAGACAGGTGGGAGATGTAAACTGATTAGAACAGCAGTTCTCAACCTACGGGTCGGGACCCTTTTTTGAGTCAAATGACCCTTTCACAGGGGTTGCCTAAGACATATTCATTATTCATTATGAAGAAGCAACGGTATTAATTGTATGTTTGGGAGTCGCCAAAACGTGAGGAACACTGTATTAAAGGGTTGCCACAAGAACTGTATTAAAGGGTTGCTGCATAAAGAAGGTTGAGAACTACTGGATTAGAAGAATTAGATGCAGACAGTCAGCGTTCTTCAGAGGTGTTATTAGAAGGAATGGATTCGAAAACCTGTTAATGACTGGCAAGATTGATGGTAGGAGATCAAGAAGATGGCAAAGAGAAAAGTACCTGTATGTCTTAGCCACATGAATGGGACGAAATGAACATTGACCTGATCATTGACTCTGGTCATTGTGCGATATGGCAAAACTTGATAGCCTATGCTTATTATCTGCCTGGCACAGGATGGAAATAAGATACTTTTGACATGAGTTAGTGAGAATGTAGAGTTATTTGTTGTGAGTTAATGATAGGAGTGTAGAGTTATTTGTTGTGAGGTAATGATAGGAGTGTAGAGTTATTTGTTGTGAGTTAATGATAGGAGTGTAGCGTTATTTGTTGTGAGGTAATGATAGGAGTGTAGAGTTATTGGTTGTGAGGTAATGATAGGAGTGTAGAGTTATTGGTTGTGAGGTAATGATAGGAGTGTAGAGTTATTTGTTGTGTTAATGATAGGAGTGTAGAGTTATTTGTTGTGAGTTAATGATAGGAGGGTCGAGTTATTTGTTGTGAGTTAATGATAGGAGTGTAGCGTTATTTGTTGTGAGGTAATGATAGGAGTGTAGAGTTATTTGTTGTGAGGTAATGATAGGAGTGTAGAGTTATTTGTTGTGTTAATGATAGGAGGGTAGAGTTATTGGTTGTGAGGTAATGATAGGAGTGTAGAGTTATTTGTTGTGAGGTAATGATAGGAGTGTAGAGTTATTTGTTGT